GACCTGTGTGTGCGTGCAAGGGAACAATTTGTGTAAGAGTCATCTTCTTCCTGCTTAGAGTTGGGGGCAGTTCTGTAAAATGACTGACGGTCCCTGAGGTCAACCTCCACCTTTCAGCTACTCTGCTTCTTATTAAGGTTGCCTGGCGAGAAAGAGGCATTTCTAATGACTGCACTAAACACCTGATAACTAAATTTTTTATCCTCATGCTTTGTCTCATCTGATTAACATTTGCAGCCTTATCATTCATATTTGGAGTGTCATAGTAAGCTCTATGTCAAACAACCATGCAATATAGAGAAAATGTTCTTGGTAAAAAAAAATGGTTATTTTGGGGAGTTGCAGTAACATTCTTTACTTACACTTCTTTGTAAATTTTTGGTGTCAGTTGTTACTTTTCCTCTTTTATTTCTGATTTTATTTATTTGGGTCCTCTCTCTTTTTTTTTTTTTTGATGTGTCTTGTTAAAGGTTTGCCAACCTTGTTTATTTTTCAAAGAACAAACTCTTAGATTCATTAATATTTTATATTGTTCTTATACTCCATTTTGTTATTTTAGCTCTGATCTTTATTATTTTCTTTCTTCAGTTTACTTTGAGCTTTGGGCTTTCTTGGTGTTCTTTTTCAATTTCCTTTAAGTGTAAGTTTGGATTATTTATTGGAGCTGTTTCTTGTTTCTTGAGATAGGCCATAATGCCATAAGTTTCTTTTTTAGGACAGTATTCCCTGTGTCCCATAGGTTTGCTGTTTTTGTGTGCTCATTTTCTTTAGTTTCAAAGTATCTTTTGATATCTCCCTTGTTCTCATTGTTAACCCATTCACTATTTAATAACATGTTATTTAGCTTCCATGTCTTTGTCTTTTTTTTTATTTTTCACTATTTTTTGATTTTTAGTTTCATAGCATTATGGCTAGAGATGATGCTTGATATGATTTCAGTCTACTAAATGTATTGAGACTTGTTTTGTGTCCTTGTTTTGTGTCATGTAATTTATTTTAAAATATGTTCCATATGCTCTTGAAAAGAATATATTCTGCTGCTTTGGGGTAAAATTCTCTGAAGATATCATTTAAATCTACTTGATCTAGTTTGTCACTTATGGCTGTCATCTCTTTCTTGATCTTTTTGTCTGGAAAATATAGTCATTGATGCCAAAGGGTTATTAAAATCCCTTACTATGACTGTATTTCTGTTATTCTCTCCCTATGTCCATCAAGATTTCCTTTACATCTTTTGGTGCTCCTATGTTGGGTGCATAAATGTTTACTAGGTTATATCATCTTTTGAATTGTTCTCTTTATCATCACATAGTGTCCTTCTTTGTCTCTCACTATAGCCTTTGTTTTAAAATCTATTTATCGGTTATAAGTACTTGTACCCCAGCTTTTTTTCCTTTCCATTTGCATGAACTATTTTTTCTACCCCTTTGCTTTTGGTTTGTGTGTCTTTTAATCTGATAAGGATCTATTGAAGACAACACATATATGGGCCTTGTTTTCTTATCCATTCAGCTACCCTGTGTCTTTTGATTAGAACATTTAAGCCATTTACACTTAAAATGGTTACTGAGAGGTATGTATTTATTGCCATTTTACACTTTTTAAGTATATTGTATTGATTATGCTATTACAATTGTCTCATTTTTCCTCCTATGTCCCTGTCCACCCAGTAACCCCATTATCTTCAGCATTCCCTACCCTTAGTTCATGTCCATGGGTTGTACAAATAAGTTATTTGTGTTCTCCATCCCCTATAGTATTCTTAACCTACCCCTGTCTATTTTGTATCTACCATTTATGCTTCTCATTCCTTGTACCTTTTTCCCCATTCTCCCCCTTCCCTATCCCCACTAAAAACCCTCCATGTGATGTCCATTTCTATGATTCTGTTTATGTTCTAGCTGTTTCCTTAGTTTGTTTGGTTTAGGTTAAGTTGTTGATAGTTACAAGTTTTCTGTCATTTTAGTGTTCATAGTTTTGATCATCTCCTTTTTCTTAGATAAGTCCCTTTAACATTTTATATAATAAGGGCTGAGTAATGATGAACTCCTTTAACTTGACCTTCTCTGGGAAGAAATTTATCTACCCTTCCATTCTCAATGATAGCTTTGCTAGATAGAGTAATTTTGGATGTAGGTCCTTACTTTTCATGACTTTGAATACTTCTTGCCAGCTCCTTCTTGCCTGCAAGGCTTCTTTTGAGAAATCAGCTGATAGTCTTATGGAAACTCCTCTATAGGTAACTGTCCCTTTTCTTCTTGCTGATTTCAAGGTTCTTTCTTTATCTTTAACCTTTGACACATTTTAATTATGATGTGTCTTGGTGTGGCCCTCTTTGGGTCCATCTTGTTTGGGACTCCCTGATCTTCCTGAACTTGTATGTGTATTTTTTTTTTTTTGCCATATTGGGGACATTTGCTGTCATTATTTTTTCATATAAGTTTTCAATTTCTTGCTCTTCTGCTTCTCCTTCTTGTACCCCTATGAGTTGGATGTTGGTACATTTAAAGTTGTTCCAGAGGTTTCTAAGCATATCCTCCTTTTTTTGAATTCTTATTTCTTCATTCTATTCCAGTTGAATGTTTATTTTCTTTCTTTTGTTTCAAATCACTGATTTGAGTCCTGGTTTCCTTCCCTTCACTGTTGGTTCTCTGTATGTTTTTATTTCATTTTGTATAGGCTTCATTTCCTCTTTTATTTTGCAGCTAAACTCAGTAATTTCTGTGAGCATCCTGATTACCAGTGTTTTGAACTCTGTATCCGACAGGTTGGCTATCTCGTCATTCAATTCTTTTTCTGGAGTTTTGATCTGTTCTTCCATTAGGGCCACATTTCTTTGTTTTGGAGTACCTGTTAAGCTGTAAGGAGTGGAGTCTTAAATATTCATCATGGCAGGGCAGCCGGCTCCACCTTGTGTTGCTGTATGTGGGGGCAGGGTTAGAGATGGAACAAAACCATTTGATTGGCTCCCCACTTTTGGTCAATTCCCCTGCTTCCCATAAGTGTCTGGCACCCTTCCAGTTACTGCCCTGCTGTTCATTCCCAAGTGGATGGGCTTGTGTACATTCTAGGACACTGTGGGCCTCTCAAATGGACTCTTCTGAGAGAGCGGCAGTTTCTTCTACCCCAACCACCACAGGTTTTTACAGCCAGAGGTTATGAGGAGGGGTCAGAAAGGAAACAATGCCACTTTCTCAGCTCTTGACCCAATTTCAGTCACTTCCCCTTGCATCCCACAAGCAAATGGCACCCTTCCCGATGCTGCACTGGTGCTGATTCCTGGGTATGTGGGCTTGTGTGTATGTTCAAGGACCCCATGGGTCCCTCAAATGGACCCTCCTGAGAGACTGGCAAATTCTTCTACTGCCAAAATCCCCACAGGTTTTTACATCCAGGGTTTGTGAGGCTTTATTTTCCCCGGTGTTGAAAGCCTGGGTTGAGCAGCCTGTCCTGGATTGGGATCGCACACTTCCCAGTTGTTTCTCCTGATTTTTATCCTCACACAAGTTTTGTACTGCCTGGTCCACCAACCGCCACCTTGCTGCATGTCCTCACCATGTGTCCTCTTTACCGTGGCTACCCATCTTCACTTTTCCTACCAGTCGGAACAAATGTTTCTTTTTTAACTCCTTGGTTGTTGGACTTGCCTACAGTTTGAATTTCTGGTAGTTTTGGTTGTATTTTGTTTTTAAATTGGTTGTTATCCTTTTGGTTGTGCAGGGAGGTGAAGTGTATCTACCTACACCTCCATCTTTGCTAGAAGTTATGGAAATTTTTCACCATTTTATTTTTTTTAACTATGTTTCTGTTTTCTTCTTTCTCTTGTCCTCTTTCTTCTTCTCCTTCTTTCTTCCCCTTCTCCTTCTCTTCCTCCTTCTTTGTACTCCTTTAACATTTGTAGGAATAAAGGTTTGGTGGTAAGAAACTCCTTTAGACTTTTCTTGACTGAGAAGCTCTTTATTTTCCTGTTAATTTTAGTTTTTTATTTTTTAAATATTTTATTTATTTGTTTTTAGAGAGAGTAAGGGAAGGAAAAAGAGAAGGAGAGAAACATCAATGTGTGATTGCCTCTTGAGTGCCCCCTATTGGGGACTTGGCCCACAACCCAGGGATGTGCCCTAGACTGGTAATCAAACTGGCAACCCTTTCATTCGTAGGCTAGCACTCAATCCACTGAGCCACATCAGCCAGGGGTGTTTCTCTGTTAATTTTAAATGACAACCTTGCTGGCAAAATAGCCTTCATTGTGGGTCCTTGCTTTTCATCACTTTAAATATTTCATGCCATTCTTTTCTGGACAGAAATGTTTCTGTTAGGAAATCAGGTGAGAGTCTTATGGTATCTCCCTAGTAGGTAACTAACTGCTTTTTTCTTGCAACTTTTGAAATTCTCTACTTGCTTTAAGCTTTGCCATTTTAATGTGTCTTCATGTAGGCCTCTTTGGGTCCATCTTGTTTGGGACTCTCTGTGCTTCCTGGACTTGTGGGTGTTTTTTTCCTTCACCAGGTTAGGGAAGTTAAAATTTTGTCATTATTTCTCAAATTGGTTCTCAATCCCTTGCTCTTTCTCTCTTCATTGTGGTATCCTTATGATGCATATTTTGTTATGCTTCATATTTTCCCAAGGTCCCTTAAGCTATCTTCATTTTTATATTATATTTCTTTTTGCTACTCTGTTATGAGTGTTTTTTTTCCTACTTTGTCTCCCAAATTGCTGATTTAATAATCTGCTTTCTCTAACCTACTGTTCATTCCATTCAATTTATTATTTATTTCAGATATTGAATTATTTACTTCTGACTGTCTTTTTATGCTTTCTATGTCTTTTTTCATGAGGTTGAGAATCCTTGTAATCATTACTTTGTACTCTATATCTGGTAAATTGCTTGTCTCCATTTTGTTTAGCTCTTCTTCTGGTGAATTCCCTTGTTCTTTTATTTGTGACCTGTCTCTTTTTCTTCCCATTTTGACTGCCTTTTTATGTCTGTTTGTATGTACTAGGTGGATCTGCAAAGACTCTTGTGAAGGTCCATGTCTGATGATGCCCTTGGCCGTGAGCCACCTTTTTGGATGTTTCAGCAATCCACTACTGTGGCTCCCTCTGCTTGGCTTGGGTGTTTGACTCAGGACAAAGCTGCACACCAAGGCTGGCTTTTTACAAGTACCAGGCTATGAGAAAGGTCAGCATAAGTATCAAAGCTCCCTAAGATCTGCCTCCACTTACAGGCTGTCTGTTATTCTTAATCACTGAAAGATCCTCTGGCTATACTGCCCAGCAGGGCTCTACAGGGTATACTGCTCTACAGGGTAGAGTGAGAGGTATTCCTATAAGTGAGTCTGTGGCCTCCTCCCAAGCTGATGCCACATGGAGGGGAGTGCTCTGCCCAAGAAAGATTGCTTCTTCAGCATGGGGAATGACTGAGCACAGGGATCTTGGCAGATGACCCTTCATCTCTCTCCCCAGAGCCACCAACCCCAGACTCTCCTCACACAGCTCTAGTCCACTCTGCCTGCTCTTTGAGCCAAGGGTAGGTAGCTACAAATGAAATTATGTGAATTGACCCTTAAAGAGGGTATCTGCATCTCAAGCCATTTTTCCCTGGTAGACAGAAAATCCACTGCTTTTCAAAGCTGTATGCTATATGGGTACTTTCCTGGTTCTGGTGCTCTAAACAGGGTAACCTGGTTTAGGGTTTAGACTCTACACTACTCTTTAGGAACACCCCCAGCTGCTGAAATATCCCTCTGGAACTTCAATGGCCACCTGTGGGAGCCCAGTGAGCCCTCTCATGCATCTACACTTTCTACAAGTATTGATACAGTGGTGTAGTTTCTTCTGTAAGCCCTTGGTTATATGCCTTCTTTCCAGCTAATCTTCAGTTGGTTATTAGGATGATATAGTTATTACAATTTGGTCCTGGCAGGAGGACAGTGCAACTTCTACCTACTCCACCACCATCTTAGATCCCCTGAAAGACAGTCTATTTAATAAATGATTTTGGGAAAACTGGACAGATTATGTGCAAAAATTGAAACTAGACCATACTCATACCATATTCCTGCATAAAATCAAAAAGAATTACAGACTTAAATGTGAAACTCAAAACCAAAAAGAAACCTCATAATATAAAACATAAGCAGTAAAAATCTCTGACATTTCTCTTAGCAATATTTTTTATATAATTCCTCAGGCAAGGGAAACAAAAAAAGTGAAACTACATCAATTTAAAAAGTTTTCACACAGCAAAGTAAACCATCAACAAAGCAAAAAGAGAATCTACTGAATGATACATTTACTAAAGTGTTAATATCCAAAATATGTAAGGAACTCATCCAACATATCCCCCCAAAAAAAAAATCTGATTAAAAAATGGGCTTGAAGACCTGAATAGACACTTTTTCACAGGGGACATACAGGTGCCCAGTTGACATATAAAAAGATAGTCAACATTACTAATTACAGAGAAATGCAAATTAAACCATAATGAGATATCAAGTCACACCTGTCAGAATGGTTGCCATTAGTAAATCTAAAAACAAGTGCTGGGCAGGATGTGAGGTAAGGGGAACTGTTGTGCACTTTTGGTGTGATTGCAAATTGGTGAAGCCACTTAGAAAAACAATGTGGAAGTTCTTCAACAAATTAAAAACAGGACTTCCAGATCGGCCAATAATCCCACTTATGGGTATTCAGCTGAAGAAATGAAAACACTAATTTGAAAATATATGTGCTTTCCTATATTCATTGCAATATTACTTAAATTAGCCAGTATATGTAAGCATCCTTAGTGCTCATCAATAAATGATTGGATGAAAGAGGTTGGACAACAATTTAAAAAAAGAGGTATACTATATATGTATAATATAATACTACTTGGCCATAAAAAATGAAATCTTACTATTTGCAACAGCATGGATGGGCCTAGAGGGCATTATGCTAAGTGAAATAAGCCAGACAAAGGCAATTACCATACAATTGCACTTACATGTGGGACTTAAAAAACAAAATAAACAAACTCATAAGATATTGAGAACAAACTTATGGTTGCCAGATAGGAGGGAGAATGAGGGGAGAAGCTGGGTAGAAAAGGTAAAGGGATTATGAAGTACAAACTGGCAGTTACAATATGGCCATGGGGGTATACTGTACAGCATAAGGAATATAGTCAATAATACTATAGTAACTATGTAATAGTGCTGGTAGGGTACAAGACTTATTGGGGTAATTATTTTGTAAGTTATATCAGTGTCTAATGTTGGGAACTGCCCTGACTGGTATCAGAAGCTGAAACCCCCACCTAGGCTAAGGCTAAGGGAACACCCTTGGAACTGTAAGCCAGCAAGGAGACAAAAGCTTATCTTCCTGGCAGGAATGCTGCTTCTGCTGCTTTATTCATGACTGAACCCCAAAAAGCTTGGTCGGTTAGCCAAAGACAGGTAAGATTCCCCATGGGGGGAACGACCTAAGACAGGCACGATCACTTTGGGAGGCCCCCCAAAAGAAGGACTTGGGGGGCTGCAGCAAAAGGGGGTGATGGACCCTTGCTCCTCGGCTTAGACATAAACTGAGTTCTCAGCGTCTGGGAAAAAACCTCCTTGTCTCCCAGTTGCCTTAGTTCCCTTGCTCCACCTAAGCCTGAAACAATGACAGGGTGGTGCAGCTCTGTACTGAGAAGTGCAGATTCCCCGGGGTGATCAGGCCTAAGAAAGAACATGTAAATTACTGTGAAACCTTCTTTGTTTAGAATGCTCTCAGTTGAATGAAAAGGGTCTTAGGAGGAAGTTATTTTGTTCCTCAGTCTTACAGCTCTTTGACCCCCAACTCAATAGACCGGCAGAGTTCTTTGTTTTCTATGGTTCCTTACTTCCCTCTAATGAGTACTGTACTTTTCCTGAATTATTATGCAGAATGAGCCCAATAAAAGCAGGTATGGACTGTAAATCAGCGCGCTCCCCACTAGGGGGGGTGGCCATTTCGTCCCTACTTCCCCACAGAAACTAGTCTGTCTCTGTGCATGTGTGTTTTTTCTCACGTGTTTATCGTTGAGCCATCCGCAGCGTTCTGTGGTCACTGCTGGCCGGTGACCCACGCGCAACAGTCTAATACCTATGATGAACATCTAAACCTAATAAAATATTGAATGTCAACTCTAACTGAAAAATAAACAATAGTATAAATAATCTGCTTAAAATTCTGAAATATACAAAGGGCTCTGCCATGGCATCAGGAGAATTGCTCAAGCAGTTCTATGTGACCCATTTCAAAGATGTCTCACTCACACTTTTGGCATGTTGTTGCTGTGAGTTTCAGCTGGAAGCTCAGGGCCTCAGTTCTATATATAACCTCTCACAGCTTGGTTGTCTTAAAGTAGTAAAACATGTTGCATGATGGTTAAACTCCCCCAGAACACACAAGATACTTCTAGGCCTTTTTTAGACCAAATTGGTCTAAAGTACCTTGAGCAAATCAAAGTCTCCTCTGAATCATTGCTTAAATTAGTTAACTATAATGCCTTCCCCATGATGTTTTGCTAACCCATGTCCAGCACAAAGAGCACTGCCTTCATGAAAATTTTCTAATTATTTTATTTTGGTATAGTAGCTCCTTCCTTTTGAAATTTGATAGTTCTTATTATCTGTACTGCTCACTTTCTTATCAAAATATGCTATTTTATAGTATTATTTACTTTTCAGTGGATAGCACATCTGTCTCTTCAAACCACAATATGGCCATTAAGGACACAAGTCAAGGCCCATATCTCTGTGTCACATGTAATATGTCCTGAATAAGTATTTGATACATAGGGTGGTTGTATAATAAGGCATTTTAGGTTTTTTTAAGAGCTATTATTCCACTTGAAGTGACGTGTGTCTTGAACTTATATAGATGCTTTAAAAATTCTATTTAAGATGACTACCTGTACTCCCAAAGAAGAATTTAAATTACTGATTAGGCTAATGAATTCAGTTCATCCATTTTATTACTTTTTAATTGTTTTCTACTTCTCACACCTCTTGGCCTTTCTCACTGATTCAAAGACGCGAAGTGTTTTAGGATGTTGAAGATCAGTATGATATGCCTAGAAAATGCAAATGTAAAAGTAGTTAGCATGGAAATAATGAGTAGAAAGGTTTATTAACCAAATTGTCTTCAAGTAGGAAGAGAACTAGAGGACCTTTATTAGTACTCCTTTTCTGAACCACTTTAGTTTTATCAACACAGATAGAGCCGTAATGAACACATTAACCAAATTTGTCTTTTAATGCTCTATGTTTGCCACTATTATGACTCAGAGAGTAATAAATGTAACAAGGCAATGAGGAAAGAAAACTGATGCAAATAGGAACTTGACAAGGGATAAGTTGGATCTGTAAAACAATGAATTTGATTCAAAGAATATCTTGGCTTGCAGGTGTGTCAGTATCTTCAAAGTAATTTCTTTTCAGGACACTTGAGTGATTTCAGTTTGAAAATGTTTCTAAACTTTTAACTCAAAGTAATAAGCCAGTTAATAGGAGACTAGGTTTTGTGTAGGAAGCAACTACCCAAGTTGATAGGACATAAGAAAATAAGTATATGCTTTAGTGAGATTGTACTGTTTTTCCTGAGAGTAAAGAATAAAATCATAATATGAAAATGCTGAGATGTTTTTGCTAATTAACAATAAAATTCCTTATACAAATTGTGTGCTAAAGCCCTAACCCCAATGTGACTGTACATGGAAATACAGTCTTTATGGAGGTAACTGAGGCTAAATGAGGTCATAAGGGTAGACCCCAACTCTAATAAGGCTGGTGCAATTATAAGAAGCAGAAGAGACACTAGAGCTTGCTCTCTCTCTTTTTCTTCCTTTATATACTCACACAGGGAAAAGACCATATGAAGATACATAAAGAACATAGTCATCTGCAAGCCAGAAAGAGGGTTCTCACCTGAAACCAAATTTGCCTGCACCTTGATCATGGACTTCTTTTTTGAGAAAATAAATTTCTGTTGACTAAGTTATCTGATCTGTGGTACTTTGCTATGGCAGCCTGAGTAATTTAATACATCAATAGTGAAAACCTCTTGACTATACCTAAACTTATATCATTAATTATTAATGTTTATAACCAATAACTATTTAGAACTCTTTGACTA